AGTTTTCGAACTCATACGAAACATGCCAGGAGTAAACTGTTTGTTTGTTTTTTATGTCTTTGTTTGTAATGAAGCATTTATTGAAAATCCCTTGTGGATACCTGTTTGACATGTAGCCTGAATAAAAATCCTACATACCCAGATTTCCAGAAAGTTTTTTTTTTTTTTTTTTTTTTAATACCTAATGTAATTTGAATTGGATTAGTTTAGTTTAGTTTATTTATTTGAAAAGGGACAGTGTACACTCTAATAAATGCTGGGTTAAATTCAACCCAGTGCTGGGTAAAATAGGGACAAACCAAGCAATTGGGCTGTTTTGACCCAGAAGGGTCAAAGTTAAACATTTAACCCAACCTTCTGGGTAGTAACCCAACTGCTGGGTCAAAACAACCCAATTGCTGGGTGTGTCCCTATTTTACCCAGCACTGGGTTGAATTTAACCCAGCATTTTTTAGAGTGTACAATTTTTAACATAAATGTTTCCATTTAAAGCATTGTACCGGATTCAGCCAGCTAATTTTAATCTGCTAAACCAGATCGATCAACCGGATTGATTCAATTTATTGAATTGCCCTCAAAAAATAGATAAATGAATAAAACATATTTATTTATTTATTACCTATATAGACAACTGTTCAGACGGTTTGGGCTCAGTATTATTTTTATTTATTTATCTATTTATTTATTTATTTATTTTTATTCAGCAAGGATGCATTAAATTGATCAAATGCTGTTCTTTTTGAACTTTCTATTCATCAAAGGATCCTGAAGAAAATGTATCACATTTTCCACCAAAAATATGAAGCAGCACAACTGTTTCCAACATTGATAATAAGAAGTGTTTCTTGAGCAGCAAATTAGCATATTAGAAGGATTTGACACTGAAGACTGGAGTAATGATGCTGAAAATTCCACTTTACGTCACAGGAATAAATTACATTCTAAAATATATTCAAATAGAACACAGTTATTTAACATTTTTACAATATTACAGCTTTTACTGTATTTTTGATCAGATAAATGCATGAAAAAATTATTTCGAAAACATTTCAATAAACCTTTGATTGGAAGTATATGTTGGCGATTCAAAAAATTATATTTTGTTCTATTTGAACATTATGAAAAAATATGAGTAGTTATGCATTTAATATTCCTCGTTCAGATTTGACATCTTGCCTGTCACCTCAGTTCATTGTGAGGAATATGGAACATACTCAGGTCAAGTCTGTTATTTTGCTCTCCTTTTTTCCAATTGAATGAACTGCATCATGAAACCTGCAAAGCACAAATGCATTCCTCCACCTTTGAGGTTGCCATAGCAATGATCAATGTGGGTCTGTGTGTGTGTGTGTGTGTGTGTGTGTGTGTGTGTGTGTGTGTGTGTGTGTGTGTGTGTGTGTGGTGTTTGATTTGGTGTGTGGGAGTGTTGTCAACCACTCTTACACATGCCCTGCAGAGAATGCTAATATGTTGGCCCGCCTGATTGGCTGCTGGTGCCAGGGGTTTTTATTAATGGCACAAGGCAGTCGGTAGGCAGAAAATTGGTTGGGCTGTTCAGTGCTCACATGCACAGACACACATATGAAAAAAATAATATATGAGCATATGAGCAAATTAACTTTTAGTATCATAAGTTAAGCTTCAGATACATTAGTCATGATGCGAATTGCAATAACAATTTATTTGAAAAAATTGTAAACATGCAAATGTCAATATATGTGTGCATTATATATATACAATTATTTTAATTTTATTTTTTAATTTTATTAGATACAACAATGGAAATTTTGTCAAATTTGTGTACTTTGGTTCTTTTGAGCCCAACAGTTGCTTGCATGTCTAATTATTTTTATGTAGCATATTTATTGTATATGAAATTTAATTAAACCGTAAAATGTAGATATTGAATTGGCAGATTTCCATCATGACAGTTGTTTCCTGTGGAAAACATCTGTAGTTTAATGTCTTGTGTGGCGATTAAGTGTTTCGCGAGTAGTTTGTGTCTTGTGTACAGATTTAGAAACAATTTATATTTCCATTCCTCTGTAATTTTTTTTTCTCCCTTTGAGAATATATATATATATATATTTATATATATATAAAAAATCAATCCAGCTTGTGGTTTTTAAAGACTTTGCTGTAAGGTTCTGTACCCATTACTTCATAACCACAGTGGCCGAGCTTGTAAACGAGCTTCATGCTGTTTCCATTATTGCCAATAAGCGACACATTCAGACCTTTGAAAAGGAAAACATGACGATTCGCAGAAAGACTGAAATGAAACACTTGAGACACGCTACATGATTGAAACACTAATATAGAGGAAGCTGAAAAAAGGAAGAAAGTGGGTAAAAAATCTATTGAGTGTGATTAAGACCTAAAACTGTTTATTTATGGTTGTTTTCGCACTTGTAGTTGCTATTGCACTACAATTTAAAAAGAACAAAATAACAGCTTTTAAAGTAGAGAAAAGTAGAGGTTTTCCTCTGGACTGTGTCCTATTATAATGTAATTAATGCATCCCAAATGTGTGATTAATATTTCAACATGACAGTGTTCTCTCAAATCATCGTAACTAGCTTTGTTTATGACTGAAGTTACAGTCTGCACTTTCCATGAATAAGATAGACTTTGTCCCATTACTTTTTCTCTAGCATTACAGACACAAAGGTCAGCTTTTTGACCCCGTTACCGAAGTTGTATTAATCATCAAAAATAATTTATTATTATTATTACTACTATTATTATATTTATTTTTCAAATAATGGTAAAAATATGTTTAAGTTTAATCCCACACTAGCTAATCCCTACTGAGTGACCACTGCAATCCTGTTCCCTTTCAGTCGGTCACTCTCGACGTCACGTCGGATGACCGACGAAATTGGGATCTCGCTTAGAGGGACCAATCTACTTCGAGTGTAAACTAAACGAGCCAATGCACATTGGCATGCGATTATTGCATCCAGCTGCTGCTGATCACAGCGTGAGTATAAGTAGGCAGCAGATGCAGCGCATATTCAGCTTTTCGCTTCGGAGCCGAGCGATCACATCGTTCTGCTCCTGACTACTCTACTGAGAGAAGAAGATAATGATCCTCGCGACAGCCCCTCCTTGGCCGATTCCTCTGAGGAAGGATTTACTGACTCAGAGACGGGGCACCCCTTGGCACCCGCTTCCAGACCTCTTAAAACTTCATGTCCAAAAAAATAGGGGCGCAGGTGGCTTCCACAGGACACTGGAAGGGGCACTTCACGATCATCATGCTGGCAATGTCTTCCAACCAATTACAGCAAGTATGCTCTGTGACTACACAGGATCTATATTTAGACGTAAAGCAAAAGTTGTTGGCTGTTATGTTGCTCTTGCAGCGTCCCTCTTGATGATTTGTTTATGGTCTGTAAGCAGCATTCGTCTGTCATCTCCTCAGATGGAGTCATCATTCTGCTTTAGATGAGTCCTTAACAAATCTGGCAGCGGTTTGGAAGTAAACATGGTTTAAATCTGCTATTGGATCTACTGCTTAGGAGCATAAAAGCACAATATTAATGTTTTATGTAGGCTAGTTATGGTAGCTATGGTAACTCTTTGGTGTGTTGAGAACTGAGCCAGTTTTCCTTCCGACTAGTTTGACTTTGAGCAATTTGAGATTTATATCTCAAACGATTGTACGAGTTTGGTGTTCTATTAAAGCTTGTCTGTAGCCCCCTTTTGTTCTTATAATGGCATGTCTGCTTCTTTTTGAAATAGAAATTCTTGAATCAATTCACTTATCTTTGCTGCTGAAATTGGATGTCTGTGATAATGGCCAGCGCAAAAACTGCTCGTCTTGGGTTTTTGGGGGTTTTGGCTATTTCTCTAAGGTTTTATGTTACATGTACTCTCTGTAGTTGGTCAAAAATAACTTTGTGCATGTTAATGAATGATTTAATTTAATTGACCATATTATTTGACACTAAATAGAGGCTAAAACATGGACAACATCCATGTTCAACATCATTATGTTTGGCATTCAAATAATAATAATGGCTATAAAATGAGCTAATATTCTTTAAAATTGTGCAATGATCTATTATCAGGGTTGAGCAAATTTCTAAATTGGCAATTTGTGAGTTTAAATTGAAAATTGAACATTTAAGTTAAAGTTTAAATTGTTTTTAAGTTTAAAAGTAAAAATTTAAATTGAATTGGACATATCCAACAGGAAGTTGAATTGTAATTTGAATATAAAATGTAAAGGAAATTAAAGTTACAAAATTACAATTCTGAGAATAATAATAATAATAATAATAATAATAATCTTTTAATTTATAAATTATAATGATTTGTTTTTCATTGAATTCATTTTTTTAAATTTATAATTAATTAGCCATATAGTTAATAAACAAACATGGAAAAGTGACGTCAGCACCGTCTATCGCGGCAAGCCTAATATATATAACAGTGTCCCAACTTTTTTGGAATTGGGTTTGTATATATACATACACTTGTGTGTGTGTGCATAGTCGTAAACATTTTTTTTCCTTCAATTTACACTTATTGCAAATTTTCTTTGCATTTTAGTTTTGCAGATTGCAATTTTATTTTAAGAAAATCAATTTAAAAGAAACTAAAATGCAAAGAACTTCTGCAATAAAAGTGTGATTTTACGGAGTATGTATACACAAAAATACATACATGCGTTTTTTTCTGCAAAAATTACACTTTGATTGCAGAAATTATTTGCATCTGGTTTCCTTTTAGTTCTAATTCTTTACATTAAAATTGCAATTTGCAAAACCTCTGCTTTTGCATGTTTAATAAATGTTTGGCTAATTAATCATTGTTTTCAGCCACCTATTTAGCACTTTAGCTGAGTATATCACACAATTATATGAGAGGCTGACCAATGAATCACCAAACAGGTGACTTGGTCAGCCTTTAATAAAGGGCACAGAATCTCCCACTGTCCAGTTGCGGTTCATAAGCATGCATTATGGTTTGTGATGTTTTCGTACCTTCAGGCCGTTGACTCAGGAGGAGATCGCCCAGAGAAGGGAACTGGCCAGGCAGCGGCACGCAGAGAGACAAGCTGCCAATCAGAGCGCAGAAAGTCCCGGGTCGGCTGATGCTGGAAGGACTTCAACCCCAGCAGGCCCGGCCAGAGGTGCTGTCACAGGCAAGAGTTTAACCCGTTCAGTGCTGCATGCGTGACAGTGAATGAGTAAAACAGGTGTCTTTGAGCTTGTGTGTCACAGGCTATATTCCTAAGGCAAATTTTGTACCATTAAACTATCATGATATGTCCAATTCATACTGTGATTGCTCCTGGAGACTTCTTTATTTGATATTCTTAGTATATTTATACTTTATTTTGTTCTGCAGATGCTCTGTGTGCGCAGACAGAGGCTCTTTCGGTCAAAGCTGCAGTCGAGGAGGAAAACAAAGAGCATTTTGTGGCCTTCGCACGAGTCTACAGCGGCGTCGTCAGAAAAGGCCAAAAGGTGTTTGTGCTCGGACCCAAATACAACCCGTCGCTGGCGCTCAGAGCGGTGAGCAGGCTTCTGGCTTCATAGCCGCAGACCGCTTCCTTATCCAAGAATGAATGCAATTTATAACATAATCATCACACAGTTAATAATCCTTAACCCTGCTGAACTTGAACTCGGGCAAATGAACTGCCTCGTTCGGGTTAATATCCAATTAATTCCCTCATGTTTGAAGCTGTCTGGAGCTCATTATTACATTATTACCCAGAAACTATTAAAAGACTCATACAATTGAGACATCCATTGAAGAGTCAGAGTCGAATTTGCATAAAACTCCACCATCATTGGCCATTAAGAGCATTTCTTAATTAAGAGAGGAAGCGTCCACTTAAACAAATGTGGTTCAGGACTGAAGGGCAATGATTGTGACAAATATTGAGATTGTGATTTGAATTGAAAAATTAAAAACTTTTGCGTCTCTTGTTTCTGGACATTTGATATCAAATATTAAAGGGCAAAAAGGCTCATTTAATTTATGTGAAGAAATAGTTGCTCTTTTGAGTCTTCAATAATAATGTTATAATGTTGTATATGTTCATACACACACACATACACATTATATCTCTTAATAATAATGTTACATCTCATTTACAATTTTTACAATTACTAAATTATTATTATTATTAGTAAAAGTAGTATATTGGAATAAAAAAATTTGTTATATATATATATATATATATATATATATAAATAAATATGTATATATTCTGATTTACAGAATATATTATAATACATCTCTGAATAATAATAGTATTAATAATCTTATTTACAATATCTACAATTACTGCATATGACTCTTCTTTTATTAATATTAAATTGTGTATTGTAATAAAATTATTTAATTGATTTTTATTTTTAAACAAGTATGTACTGTGAGAATGTAATGTACAGAATATATTATAATACATCTCTGAATAGTAATAATAATAATAATCTTATTAATAGTAATTAATAATAATAATCTAATAATTATCTTATTTACGGTTTACAATATTTGCAATTACAGTATATGATTCTTCTTTTATTATTATTAAATTGTGTATTGTAATAAGTGGGAGAACCTGCACAATTGGTGGCTGACTAAATACTTTTTTGCCCCACTGTATATGCTACATGTAATATACAAAATATATTATAATGCATTTCTGAATATTAAAGTAAAATATGATAATGATAACAACAATAATAGTAATAATTATTATTAAATTTTGTATTGTGTATTGCTTTTATTTTTTTGAATAATTATAAAATATAAATATAAAAATGTAATTATAAAAAAAGAATTGTTTTAAAATGTGTGTGTGTGTGTGTTATCATGTATGCTGTCTGGTAATATGAGTCCTAATGCTGATGTGGGATTTTTGTTGATCATTTTCACCTTTAGCTGCCTGAAGGATGTTCAGTAGCTGATGTTTTACCCAGCATCCCTCACATGGCCTGCTGTACCGTGGACAGCCTCTACCTGCTGATGGGCCGCGAGCTGGAGGAACTGGATGAGGTTCCCTCAGGAAATGTTCTCGGTTGGTCATTTGTTTTCTACAGTGCTCCTCTCACAGGTTCCGGATGGATTTGTTTTTTGGCGTTCTGCTGTGTGAAAAAAAAAAAAGTGACTTTTACCTGTGATTGCACTTCTTGAAGACAAAGCTCTATTTGCCTGTTAATATTCTTGCTTGATGTATGGCTTTACAGTACATGGTTTGGCCGAAGCACAGAAATTCTGGTGCTGTAGTGCTTTATGCGTGTGCTCAAAATAACGTCTTTTCCACATCACGGCTTATTCTGTCCAAGAATTGGCCACTTAGATAGGGAAAAACCGTTGCTGTGAATGGAGCAGCTACAGTTTGTCTTTTTGTGCTGTTTAAGGATGGGTACATCTGGAATTGACCATGCAACAATAATAAACTAGTGTTGCAAATCAGAGAAAAGACCAAGAAACAGGAAGTGTGTTTAGATGTTCAGAATGTTTTCACATGTTACTGAGTCAATGTCCGTGTGGGTCCTGGTTATTTCTGACAACCAATCAGATTTTTAGGTTAGGTTTAGAACTGGGTTTGGTTTAGGTGTTTGGATTGGGTTAGAATATATTTGTTGTTGTTGTTCCAGAACCAACAAAACATGCCTTAAGGCCTGTTCACACCAAGGACGATAACTACATGATGTATAATGCTAAAAATATAGTTTTAAATATCGTTCTAGATGTAAAAAGAATAGCTCAACACAATAGCCCTTTTTTTCCAGTTGATGATTGTTCAAAACTTTGACAGCCAATCAGAATCCATCTTGCTTTCAAGAGCTTGAGCATCTAAAGCGGTAGAGGAGAATAAATAACTCTATTAGAATAAAGAGAATGTTATTGCGCATTGGCGTGGATGGTAGTTATTGTTATAGTTACCTTTATAGTTATTGTTATTGTTGTGAACTGGGTGTTTACTCGGAATAATCAGGATGTGCAATGCACAGTTCTTCTTGCGATTGTTGGCAAATCTAGTGAAAAAAACTTCATCGTAGCTGCGTGGTACTTTGTAAATACTATGACTCTTGGAAGGTGAGTCAAGATTGGGATTTTCAGTCCATGGGTGTTCATTTAGTGAGCTAGATAGTTTTCACAGGGTCAGTCTGCATGGAGCATCCTGGGGTTAAAGGTTTTATTTTTTTTTTAATCCTGCACATTTGAACTAGCAACCTTCTTGTTAATAGCCCTGAGCTATCAAGATAAATTTCCAACTTTTGGTTATTAAAAACAAAGCAGACGAGAACCTGCATGTCTCAGTAGTCTTGTAACTGTCACAGATGTCACTTTCTGTGTACCAAAGCAATCCCATTTAGGCTCTGCTTCAAGTCCTTTATCTAAGATGATAGACAATGCCAGAAGAGAAAAGTTAATTATAAAATGGTTATAATTAATTCAGTTTTGGGTGGGGGGAATCCTTAAAAAAATCCAATATAGTCTAGTTTTCAGCATCATTCCTCCAGTCTTCAGTGTCACATGATCCATTAGAAATAATTCTAATATGCTGATTTGCTGATCAAGAAACACTATTATTATCAATCTTGGAAACATAATTTTTGTGGAAACTGTGATATATGAAATGGGATTCTTTGATGAATAGAAATGTCTAAATAACAGCATTTATTTGAAATAGAGATTTTTTTGCAACAATATAAAAGTATTTTCTATTACTTTTAATCAAGTTAATGCATGCTTCTCTCATTAAAAATACTGTTTCAAAAACTTTTGAGCCATAATGTATGCAGAGCGTTCAAAATCAATCCTTTATGACAGGGCTGTCAAACTCAGTTCCTGGAGGGCCGGAGCCCTGCAGAGTTTTATTCTAACCCTGCTGCAACACACATACCATCTAGTTTTCAAATAAGCCTGAAAGACTTGATTAGTTGAATCAGGTGTGTTTAATTAGGGTTGAATCTTAACTCTGCAGGGCTCCGGCCCTCCTGAGTCTGACACCCCTGCCTTATGAGGTTTCGTTTCAGTCAGGGTGCTGCTTTATAAGTCCAGCTGCAGATGTAGACCGCAGACAGCAAGGCAACTCACTAGGTTTTGCAACAGAATTTACATGTGGTCCTTTAAACTACCAGTGATGTGTTTTACAAAGAGAAGCGAATTCTTCTGGAATTAGTTTAGACTTATAGAGGTCTGTTGCCCTGGCAACATGGGATGAATTAGGACATTTTGGCAGATATTTTTCATCATCTCTGTTTTGTCTGTGTTTACAGTCACAAATGTTTCAGCACCAAACATGCATCAAAGTAGGACTAAAAATACCCTGAAGGCTTTTGCTCAAAATACTGAAGTTCAAAATGACGACTTGGTTCAACAATTCCTGATTTTCCTCCCAACATTCTTGTCAACAAACACAAATGATTGCACACGCCTGTGGCTTTCTTCAGAAATCTGGTGAACTTTTCACATGAGCTGCTGGTGTCATGTAGTCTTTAGAGCACCTCCTAATAATCACTTGTTTTGTAGCGCCATGGGGTTAGCATGCATTCTCGCTCCGGACACGTTGAGCCATGGTGCTCATATGGATCTATCAAGTTCAAATTTGACCTTTCTTCAATTTCAACAGCGATTCATTTATTCTCCTGGAATCCGCCAATTTATCTTTAGGTGCATTTTTTTTATTGTGAATATATCTCAGACCATATATGCTTCAATTTTAATACTTGTACGTTTTTTTTGTAAGTCATAGTTTTAATGCGCTTAAGAGATAAAAGTTAAAAGTAATTAAAATAACAATAATGATACAAACACACGCACATACACATACACATATATATATATATATATATATATATATATATATATATTATATTGTGGTATATTATTATATTGTGGTATATTATTATGGGTTATAATATTATATAATTATTTTATACATTTTTATAATTGGTATAGTAAGTATTTGTATATAATTATTCATTGTATCTGAATAAATAAATATGTATTGACATGATATGATTTAAAAAAAAGAACTAAAGTTTTTCACGTTTCAAAAGTCGATCATGTTTCCCCCAACAGTAAGTTTTGACGTGACTATTTTCAGGACTGTTGTAAAAATGTTATTAATTATTCTAATTATTTCCCCAACAGACAAACTACATAAAAAAAAATACTAAAAAAAGCTGTCAAGTTCTTATTATTCACATTGAAAATATTATTATTATTATTATTATTATTTATTTATAAATATAATTATATACAGTATATATAATTTGGTCTAATCTGATGTACTAAATCAGGAAATAAATATTATATAAGTAAATTTTGTATTATTTTAAATAACATAGTTGAGAAACGTTTATGCAAAGTTATTTAAAAAGTTATATGAAAGGTCATATATTATGCTCTAATCACTATAATGATGTGAGAGGAACAAAATCCTAAAACATTTTTGTGTGTGTTGGGTCCCAGAAGGGTTAAAGTCTGTCATTCTCATATCAACCAGCTCTCAGGCTTTATTTCTGAGCTGCATCAGTAACACTTCAGTAACCGTTGGTTCGCAAACATTCCTAAACAACAGAGTCAGGCTGCAGCGTGAGATGGATGGGGTTTATTATCTGCTGTGGTCTTCACCTCAGTGCTAAAGAGGTGCTCTGGCTCCTCATCTAACAGTGCAAGGGCTGTGCGATTCTCATCCAGGACTCCCATAGATCTGAGTCAGCGTCCAGATAGAGGCAGGAGCAATTAAATCTGATTTATGATTCCCAGTGTTCCTAGCGTCATAGAAGTGTGTGTGGGTAATGCGCTGATGAGACTTCATTTCCATTTCTCATTTCTCATTCCTCAGTCTCCTCTTTAATGCACATTCAACTCTCGTTTTTGTTTGTCTGCTCTAATGTGAAATTGGACTGTGGCGAAACAATCAGATATTGATATATTTAGATTGTTTTGGTCTTTGATACTTTAGTTTAGAGGTGCCCAAACCAGGGCCTGTGATGACCTTTGATTTGGCCTGCCACGTCAAATCACAAAAGGAGGGGGAAAATGCCATTAAAGCACATTTTTGGGTCTAATTCATATTTTTGTTTTAACATATATATATATATATATATATATATATTATTTTTTTTATTTTTTTTGCATTGAAATGTATAAAAAAATATATTTTAAAATCTTCAAAAAAAATTAAATTTTATTTTTGCATTTAATACATTTTAATATAATATAGTTGGATATAGTGCAACATTTACTTTTAGCTGCTTTAGATCATTGTAATGATATGTATGACTCAAATGTAATGTCACATCATGAGTAATTTTATATCATAGTAATAGTATTTATTTTGCAATATGTGACCCTGGACCACAAAACCAGTCATAAGGGTCAATTTTTTAAAATTGAGATTTATGCATCATCTGAAAGCTGAATAAATAAGTTTTCCATTGATGTATGGTTTGTTAGGACAATATTTGGCCGAGATACAATTATTTGAAAATCTGGAATTTGAGGGTGCAAAAAAAATCTAAATATTGAGAAAATCGCATTTAAAGTTGTCCAAATATAGTTCTTAGCAATGCATATTACTAATAAAAAATTTAGTTTTGATATATTTGGACAAAAGCGTCTGCTAAATGACTAAATGTAAATGTAAAATATATTTACGGTTGGAAATTTACAAAATATCTTCATGGAACATGATCTCTACTTAATATCCTAATGATTTTTGGCATAAAAGGAAAATCGATAATTTTGACCCATACAATGTATTTTTGGCTATTGCTACAAATACACCCCAGAGACTTAAGACTGCTTTTGTGCTCCAGGGTCACATATATTTATTTTTGCTGGAAATATTTGTATAATATATAACTATTAAATGATCACTGGCACATGATTGGCATATTCTTGTCATATAGTTATTAATGAATTGCACTTTTTTATTTTGTTAAAGCACATTTATTATTTCTGTACAAAAATGTGTGTTATTTGAGCTGTAAAGTTTTTTAAATTGTTGTTGTAGCTTTTCTAGACCGATGATCTGCAGGCTAGAACGAGCCGTTT